ATAAATTTTCAGATCTCATCCAATGAGTGTTAAGATGTTAAGTACATTAAATTTTTAATTGAAAAGTAACTCAACTGCAATGTCATAACTTGAAAAGTCCAGAAACCTGATGAAGTCCAGCTTGCATTCACTTATTCTAAAAACATAATATGTATACTATTTTTATACTAAAACCAGAGCACTACATATCTCTATATTTGTCTGAATTTGCCTCCAGTTACTCTCAGACTTCTCTTTTCTTCCAGTTAAGTAAATTCACTCTCCCATTCAAACCTGAAAGAAGTGCCAGAAGAGCACACAACCTCTGAACTCCCAGGGCCAGGGGCCTCCCTCTGCCTTTAAGACTTTTTGCATCAGATCCCAGGAGAGCCTGTGTTGATAGATAACTTCATTTGTCACTAGAGTGGCCCACAGGCCTCTAGAACCAATGTTTTATTAAACAAACATAAAACCCCCCATGATTTAATTTTCACATTCATAAGGGATATATTTTTTCATATATTAAGGCTTTTTAAAGATAATTTGTATGTATCTTTCAAAATACAATTTATATCACCTTGAATACTGAGTAGATATACATGTAACAATAACATATGATGGCTTTAATCAGCAAAATATTTAATAAGCATGGTCCTAACTTTGTCCAATAAGCCTGAAACTGTTTTAATGAATCAAATCTAGTATTAATCTGAGCCAAACTTTGTTCAGGGATTTACAATAATGATAATCTTTGGGTATATAAGCAGAAAACATTTTTGTTACCTTTAACTGATATTTGCCTATATTTGCTCTATAAAAATATGCAGTGTCATGGCCCCTCAGCTCTAGAATGGTAAGGAAACGTTCCTGCAACAATGCTTCCAGAATGGAATGAATAATGCTCAGCATTCAATAATTCCCACCATTTAATAAACAATGGATAACTCTTAATCCTGGTTTGAATGCATGACAGAAAAATCTCATGGGAGCCCCAGTTTGATCCTGTTCATGAAGGAGCAGAATCTGCTCTCCTTAGAGGTGGGTTTGTTCCTTGATGTGTCTCTCTGACTACAGGTGGCCAGGAATAGTCTCTGCACTAACTGTGCTGTGCTGTTTGCACTCAGACACAAAAATAACACTGCTCAGTCCAAGCCAGCATGCAGCTCATTTATATTTTACCTCAAATCAGCCCCACAAAAACAAAGGAAAGCTGTTCTCCCAACCCACTTCACCTCCCTTTGCCTTGTTCCATGAGATCAATTGGCAAGTAGGGGCTGCTACAAATACAGACCAGAGCACAACCTTATTTTCTTCCCTTCACAGTAATTCAAAAAATAAAAAAGCTATGGCCCACAAAGGCCTTATTAATTTCCTTTATTGATTGAAATGTAAGACACAAGGTGCCTCACAGCTCCTGAGCTACACAGCAAAATAAGTGCGAGGACCAGCAATGAAAAACACTAAGTAATGAAACAAAAGAAATTATGAAAAGTAAAGCTAGAGATCAATATGCTGCTTTTCTGAAAGACTGTGCTCAGCTTTAAAAACAGAATTGTTTGTGCTGAATGTTTGATTAGCTATAGATCACTAAAGAAGGATTCCAGACCATCTGGAGTCTATTCTGTAAGCTGATCTGGAAACCTCTAGCTCAAAAATAGTCCCTGTGTGAAGGCACAAACATACATACCACAACCTCATCAGCAAGTTTCTGGAATATATTTTAGATAAAAATATGCCATCTTTATCTCCTGGGAAACCTGAGATGAAAAATAAAAGAACCCAAATACCAAAGTACTAGAAACAATTGCTTGGAGAAGCAAGGCATTGTTTCTTAAAGGACCAACAAGAGGGAGGGTAATACCAAAAAGCCTGATGAGCAGCTTTACTTCTAAACATTAAAAGATGCAATTATTCAACAATGTCAGATAATCACCCAGATGATAAATATACATCTGCTGAGCTTTAACAAGGAGCTTAAAATAAAACTTGCGATATAGCAGAGGAACAGAAGCTCCCATTGCACTGGGAGGATACAGAAATTGGAGCATCACACAAACACTGAACAAAAGCTGTCTTAAAATAGAACTTGGAATGATGCCATAGTTAATAGCTATAAATACAGAACATGCTGGTGTGTTAAACATGGGTTTTAAATACAGCTTTAATCAGAATGGAAAAGAAAAGCAAGTCTTGACAAAGATTTTGGTCACTGTCAGCAGGGCGAAGAAACCTGAAATAATTCTAGACAGTGACTAGTGAAATACTTTTATTTTTATATTTAAATCAGGTTGGGTCACACTAAAAGGCTTCCTCCCTGTTTCTATACCAAGAATAGAACAATTAGCAAGTGTGTATTGGAAGGAGAAACCAGCCTGTGTACAACACTTGAATTGTTGTATTGAATTGAATTGTCAAGTGGTGCAGCATCTCCAAGGGCAAACAGCAAATAATATTCTGGAGGTGGTAGAAGAAAGAGGTCCTTACTAAGCAGTTGACAATCAGTCTACATAAGAGATCTTTGCCCCTAAGAATCAGGGCAAACCTTTCCAGAGTGTATTTCCTGGATTTTAGTAAAGATGGTATCCTGGGAACCTAAAGAATAGGACTGGAATCCGAATTTGGTTCATTTTTACAGCTGGAAGGGTTTCCAGAAAGAAAGTTAATGAAAAAGAAAAGCTATAAAATATGAACTGCCTGAGTATTTAAAAAAACAAGATGCAGTCTGGAGGTCATAAATGTGTCTCCAACCTGGCCATGACTGAGCAATACAATCAGGCAGGGTCTCACCAAAGGGAATTCCAGGCAAACTTTCCACCCTCTCCTTCCCATCAAGCACAGCCTGTGCTCACAGCAGAGGATCCAGATGTGGGGATGTATTTTCCCATTCTGACAGGGACTCTGCACGCAGTGACAAAGAGTATGACAAGCATGAAACACATTTCCCTATAACCCAGGTATGTTGTGAAGTACAAATGTGTTATTTGGAGCTCTTCAAGAACTGGGAGAACTGCTTCTAGTGAAATCTCAAACAAAAATGTCAGGAAAACAAAAAGAAACCTATCAAAAAAAAAAAAAAGGGAGTCTTAGGTCATTGCCTTCTTGACTCACTTTTGAGTCTTGGGAGAAATGGTTTGATGAATTTAGAATTTATGCATCTATTATTACCATTTTAGCAAGCTAAATTGATATAATCATATGACTTAAAGATAAAGTAACACTAACAAAACCTGCTAAGACAGTAAAATAGAAAACCTCATAACATTTATCTCAGAGTGATCCCAGACATTTTCTCCAGCCATATCTTTTTTTTCCTATAAGTATTTTTTTATAGATTTCCTGTGGTTACAATGGATCTGCTTTTGAAAAACCTCCACCTCTGCAGATATGTATTCTACTCCAAAAGAAAGAAAAATGGAGACTAAATCTCATCACCCAAGTAACAGAAATGTGAAATGTAGATGTAAAAGTGTGTGAGATAAACCATACTTGTTTACCCTCGCCTCTCCAGTTTGTTTTCTCATTATACAAATCACAAACAAGCAAAGACACTGTGACAAAACCAGCAACTGGGAACAATTTCCAAATACTCCATGCTCAGGAACAGCCAATCATTTGACAGAGACCAGGCATAGGATATTTACTTTTTATTCCTACCAGATGAAACTGAGTTTTACCTAAAACTGTGTCTGTGCTTAGGAAGCTGGAGTAAAAAGATCCCTGCTTTAAAATGATGAATGAAATTTACTGCTGCCACTTGTGCATTTAAATACTTTAAATTGTCCATTAAGGTATATTTGAGCAGACAAAAATGTCCTTCATTAGGCTCTATTAAATCTTATCTATTTGCACATGCATCTCTGTGGCTTCTGCAGCCCCGACATGCACTAGCAGGGGCAGCAACACTCCCATGAGCTGAGATCACACTCCCTTTCTCTGTAATAAAAATAATGGACAGGCAGCCAGAAAATGGAGATATTTTCCTCCCATAGCTTCCAGTGATATAAACCACAAAAACAAAGCTCTGGGAACATCCTCACAGCTCAGAGTATCTTGGCACTTGTATGACAAACTCTGAGGTACATCAGCAATGACAAACTGCAAGGGGTTCTAGCTTCCTCTGCAGGACAGGCTGGATGGAACTTACTACACCATGGGAGAGCCCCAAATAAGCCAGGCTGCTTGAATCTGAGCATTAAAAAAGAACAGAGAGCTTTTTCAAGAACACGGGCTTTGGAGGGAGAAGCTGCTCCTTTGGAGGGAGTGAGAAGCTGCTCGCTTCGGCCACAAACATCCTGCAAACTCAGGTGTTTTTATAAAAAATGAAATGACAGTTTGCCCTGGATCGCCAAGCAAATTGAATTCTATTTGCCATCTGTGTGGCAGCTGTCTCCTGTTCAGTGGGCAGTTTTCCTTATCTCTTGCATAACCACTCCTCCCTCCGGGGGGACACCTGCTGATAACAGGCTATGGAATGTCCCTGCGTGGCTGATGACACATCTGCTGATAACAGGCTATGGAATGTCCCTGCATGGCTGATAAGAACTACAGCATCCCACTGGGAGATGTGAGCCCAGAGGGAGGAGCCAAGCATTCCTGCCTGGATATAATCTGGAGTTTCTGGAACAGCAGCACAGCTTCTAAACTGGATTTCCCAGAGGAACAGCTGCCCCTTTCACTGGATCTTCAGAGGAAGACTACACCCTTTTCTCCAGGATCCCTGCTCCAGCAGAACCACCCCTGACACTCCAGGAGGACTGCAGCCACCATTCCAATTGGATTGCTACCAGCACCCTGAGGAGCAGGGTGTCAGGTGTGTTCTGACTCTGTCAGTGTTGTTTTAGTTTACTTCATTGTTTATTTTATCTTTTTATTTTCTTCCCTAATAAAGAACTGTTGTTCCTGCTCCCATATTTTTGCCTGAGAGCCCCTTAATTTCAAATTTATAACAATTTGGAGGGAGGGGGTTTACATTTTTTCATTTCAGGGGAGGCTCCTGCCTTCCTTAGCAGACACCTGGCTTTTCAAACCAAGACACAGTTGTTCTGTGCAATTAGGCCCACACATATCCTCAGCAGATATGGCATCTCTACTGATTTAAACTGGATTCTAACAGGTTCCCTCGATGCATGTGCATCCTTCCCTCTCCTTTGGCACAGATTTTATCACTCCCAGCAAAGATTTCACTCAGCACTTACAGACATGCCACCACTTGACAGCTATACAATTTACCCTCCCTAACAGAAGACAAAAGGCACTTATGTCCCATTATCCTCACCAAAGCCTGGCCTGGCCTAAGATTGTAGGAGCATTGAAATTTCTATTTTGCTGAAAAAAAAAAACAAACTCAAAATTGACTATTTTTTCCTTCTTTTTAAAAAGATCTTGGTGCTTGATTTAGGGCCCACTCCTCTGCTGCAAGGCAGCTGGTGCAGAGCAGCATTAAGGACTGGTACAGTGCCTTTCCTCTCAGCCATGTCACCAGCGGCTCTGTGTGACAAACAGCCCAAGCCCTGAGCGGGACCTTTACAACCAAACAGCAGCAGAGAGAAAACCAGACCAAGTTCTTCACAGAACGGGGCGATGTGGCTCCAAGTGCCAGTGGAGCAGCTCTCATTTCCATCAGCTGAAAATGCTTTTAGCCACAGGATAGCTCCAGGATTGTGTCTTCAATGGGCTAAATAATTCCAACAGTATTTCTGGTTCATTCTGTACTGAAAAGGACATTCTTGCAGGAGACATCTTCCCAAATCCACTCTTCACCTGGATCCCTGAGGCAAAGGTGCATTTCCATTTACTGTGTAACAGCAGGGAAGGAATGATCTCCCTCTTCACTCATTAGGCTCACGTATTTTGAAATAATTTTGTATTTTGAAATAAATTTAAATGGAACTGTGAGAATCTATCAGTCTTATAAACAGCTCTTTCCTGTTTCAATGATAGATGAAAAGTGCATTTATCCTGGGAAAACTTTTACTACCCTCATTTAATCTTAGCACTCTCTCAATACACCTTTTTTTCCTTAACATATGATCCAAACCATACTATACTTAATAGAAGAGGTTTTCATTGACCTCAGCAAGCTTTGAATCAGACCTGTAAATTAGAGTCTGACCCCTTTCACAGAATTTATGATCTTTACAGCCTATCCCTGCAAAATTAGGACATTGTGGACTCCATGCTTTACGACTCTTAAAATAGCTGCCAACAAGTAGTGCAAACTATGCTGTTCATTTCAGGATATCCTTGAACCCTGGTTCTTTGTCTAATTTTACTCCAGCTGACCCCCTGCCCCTGATCAAGTTTCCTTCATCACAGTAGTTCTAGGCCACCTGTCTTGCTGTCAGGTTGGGAAGCTCAGGCATGAGAGAAAAGGAGGAACTGCTTGGCCATCTAATCTCATATTAATAATTTAAAATAGAGTTTTAGCAAGTTTTTCTCATACTATATGAAAGGAAGCATAAGATGAATGGTTAGCAGCAGTCATTCTTGACTATTATAATATGGAGCATGCAGTTAATATTTAAATAATATGTACATTCATATGCAGAGAGAAAAAATAGTTTGAAGCAGAACTGGTGTCCCCCAGGACAGGGGACACCCTGTGCCCTCAGATGACAATGACAGCCCTTTAGGGGAAACAAGCTAACCAAACCAAACCCTCTGTGAATCACCTGGCTCAGCCTTTTCCACTTTGCAGCTTCCTCTGGCAATAAGCAAATTCCTCTTCTGCCTGCACTTCCCGGCTACAGTGTTCAGTGCCAGGGGAAAAGGTGTGTGACTGAAGAAACACCACGTCCTCTTTTCAGCCAGTCAGTGCCAGGTATCTGACTTCAGACAAGAAGAGAGAATGTTAAACCACATCCCAGTAACTCATGGGCAATTCTACAAGGGTTCATCCTTACCGAATGAAAGGATTACAGCCCATTGTCACACCTTAAAGACACTCAGGAAGAGGTGTTCTGATTTAGCAGCATTTTCAACACTCTGCTTGGAGGCCTAAGTGAGTCCACCAACAGGGAGGCAGTGAAAAGTCGAGGGTAGCAAACTCCTGTAAGCATTTCTGCGTTACAGAGACTGGTAGAGCAGCAGGAAGCCTTTGTGTCACCCATACCATATCCTCAGACAGATTGTAGCACTCTCATTCAACCAAACCTTTTACCATTAATAGCATGTAGGTCTTCGGGGAAAATGTAGACAGAGCCAAAAAACTTTTCTAAACTTTTCACAGCTACTGAAAGAGACAAAAAATAGTTAACTATTTCTTATTTGAGAAGCTATTTGACTGGTATATTTAATCACTCTATAGGATCAATTTCTATCAGGAAAATAAAATGCTTCACTGGACTCCAGTTGACACAATAAGAGAATTCAGGTTTTATTTGTATCTACTTGCAAATTACTGACCAGTCAGGGTGACTTTGTTGTTCTTTCACACTCTGCTTTGCCACAGCTGCAGAGTTTTTCACCGTTCTGAGCATCGAAGTTTCCAGAGGGTTGCAGTGGGTTTCTCTATTGGAGGCTCCCTCTTGGGGCCTCTAGGCTTTCCACAATGTTTCCTAACAAATAGATCTGATTTTAATTAAGGGAGGTAAATAAACAGCCCAGATGCTCTGTAGTCACACAGGTCCCTGGTCAAATCTTGTGTCAGAGTAAAGCCTGTGGCAACAAAACATTGGCCTCAAGTTGAGCAGCACACAATCAGAATTATACAGAGGGGTTGAAACACTCTGGGTTCACTGGGGTCTGAGATGCAGTTTGATTCCCTGGCAGATCCTTCAGGTAAAAACACACATTTACTAAAAACTCCAGAGATACCCTGGATGAATCTTCTTTCAAATATGATTTATTATGCCTACTCTTTTGAAAGGTTCTAGTTAAGACAGTCAAAAGTGACCTAGAAGCTGATGCACCTGTTTAGCACCTGAATAACTTGTGGTTAATTAAAAATATGTATAACTAACACAAGCACTGTGATAAATGGATGTACTGTTGGAATTCACACAAAAATAATTGCTTAGAGCTTTCCTAGAAGTAGAACAAGAGCAGGAGAATGATCACATTGAAAACAAATGTAGTCAAGTTTTCTAGGCAGTCTTGACAGCTGTCTGCTAGTGGGGATTTACTGCAGTGTATGCATGGAATTAATCCATAACTTAACATTTATGCTAGTTTGCATCTGTTTACAAGCCCTACTTCCTATTCAATTGAGTAGCACGACCCTTTTCTCACATCAGCCAGGGGTATCATTATTAACTGATAATAACCTCAATTTGCAAATTACTTAAATCCAATGGGGCTATGTTTCATTACCATACTGGCTGTAATTCCAAGTCAACATTCATTACTGACAAAATTCCATTTTCATGCAGACAACTATGCATTGCTGAGAAGTTATTTGTAATATCCTAAATATTTTACTATGAAAGAAATGTGCCCTTTTGCCTAGGAAAAAGGTAAGAAAAAGCCCAACACCACTGTGTAAAGAAATGAAAAGCTGAATTCAGGACTTCCTCGCCTACAATCATGTAGAACACACAATTAAAGAGCTATGTGTCCAGACAAAGTTCTATACATCAAGGAGCTATTCTTTCCCTTACATATCTGCTTCCTCACCATATCAAGATCATACTTAGCCAAAGCCTCCTCTTTTCTTCCCACTTTCAAGCCCTAAAGAGCCAATTACTGCAGCATGTTATTAATTCATTTCCAACCTGTGCCACACAAACATCTGAGTCAGAACTCATTTTTTCCACAGTACCGGGCAACAGGAGCACAGCACATCCTTCCAAAGATCTGTCATAAATGCAGTGCTTCTCCAAGTCCAAGTGACACAATATCCTGTGTAAGGAGCAGAAGGGCATACGAACTGTTCTTGCATCTGTAAGGACAGCAGAAGATCCCCCCACAATAAACCCAAACTGAACAGCTCTGTGAAGTTCACCATTATTTGCAGTTCCATTGCATTTACAGACTGGATGTCCAGCCAGTCTGGACAGCTGCCTTCAGGACTAACTTCGTGAAGGAAGTTATATTTCTCCCAGGGATTAAAGTTTGTGCCCTTACCCAGAGTCTGAAATGTGTCCAGCTGTTTTCCAAATTGGATTTTCATCTGTCAGCCTCATTCCAGTCCTAGAACAGATCAACATTATAGTTCATTGCTTCCATTTTTTTCTCTTCCCTGTATGGACAACTCCTGTTTTCTACCTTTAATTGCATCTTTGTGGATTAATGCTCTCCAGCTCAGCCCTCCTGGTTCCTCTCTCCAGCAACAGAGGACCAAACCTTATCTGGTCAGTCACTCCCACCTGAAAGAGTTATCTGATAGCAAGAAGGCAGCAAATATAAATACAATGTGCATAATCTGTTTCTAGCAGGCCCTTTTCCAAAAATTCTTTTCGATAAATAAAGCAAGTGAAGTTGCAGAAGTTTTTCTTATATGGGTCACTGCCCATGAACTATTAGGAAGTAACCCTGGCAATTTACTTTGAATGAGCCTTGGCAAACAGTCAGGACCACTCAAAAATCTCATGGAATGCCAGAGGCTCATTTCCATTTCCTGTATTTGGTACATTTCACACCTTCCAGAGGATGCTTATTTAAGCATAAGACATCACCTCAAACTGCTTTATCAGGAGCCAACCGTTCAGAGACTGAGACTTTAGTCCCAGAATTCTGCTACCAACGAAGTATAAGCCAGGAATTCTGAACTCAGTAATTCACTCAGTAACAATTTTAACTTCAGCAAATGCTCAAATCCACCAGAATCCAGAGGGGAATTGTTTGCAACTCACCATGGTAACAGCGCACCAAGGCCAGCTATCAAAATTCACCCCTCTCCACTAAATGATTTCTCCTGCAGGAATAAACAGAGTATCAACAACCCCTTCCCCAGCTCCCTTTTGAGTCTAATACAGATGTCATTACCATGCTTTGGAAACGGTGTGGAGGTAATTTGTGGTATTTTGTTGTTGGGTTTTTGTTGGGTTTTTTGGGGGGTGGTGGATTTTTGGTTGGTTGGTTTTGTTTTTGTGGTGTGATTTTTTTGTTTTTTGTTTGTTTGTTGGTTGGTTGGTTTGGGTTTTTAATTTTTTTTTGAAATTTTTAATTTTTATTTCTGTACCTAACCAAAACACTGAAGAGCTCTTTATGCAGCCCCTCTGCAGGCCAAGCCTGCTCCCATTAATGCCAACAGAAGCCTTGCAATTGACTTCCAGGGAGAAGAGCAGTTTGTTGTTAAGCACAGTAATATTTGTTTCACCTTCACCCATGTTAACCTCTTAAAAGGTTTATATTTATGGGCAACAGTGTCTGCTCCTCTCAGAGGGGTTTTGCAGAGGCATAGCATTAACCTGTCATTTGATTTTCCACTTGAGCTGATGTACACACTGAGGCAAAGAGCAGCACTAAGGTGTGTTGGTAATGACTCCCCAGGATAAATCCATGCATATTTTACATTACAGTGTGACCCTTACAGGTTAGGCTCTTATTTTCCCACACAAGGTGATGTGCCTCTAGCTGGCTTCCTTCCAGTGACCAGGAAGTGCACAGGGAGGCTCACACAGGACACCCCCAACATTCCAGTGGCCTCAGTATGGCTTTTGGGTTTATGGCTAAAGCATCCTGTTAGCTCACAGCTCTATTTCATACAGCTGTGAGTGTAATTATGTGAGACAAAGGCCATCATTCGGCAAGGACAGCTGCACAGCATTAGCACTTTGTTCTTACCTGATTCAGAGTATGATTTTTAGTTCATTTAGTTTGAAATAGGAAGCAAGGAAAACATCTGAGTCCCATCACGTATGCACTACACATCTGCTATGCATTTTTCTGAGTCTTCCTGCTCTGAATCCTCATGTTATCTCCCAGCTTTACCTTATACTCCTGATGTAGTCATTTATTGCAAACGCATTTCTACGCTATCCTATTTCTTTCTAATGGAACACCTCAGATAAAAGCAATAAACAGGCTCAAGAATTGAATCCTTTCCTGCATCTCTACAGAGATTGCTGCAAACTGCACATTCAAAATGAATTGCAGTGATGCAGTTCAAACATGTTTAAAGTAACAATCTATTCATTCTCAGGTATGGGGGTTTGGTTGGCAAGTGAAATAAAACAACTTCTCTGGTTTGCCAGGGAACTGGCTGAGAAACATTTGCTTCTTTCCTGCCTATAATCCATGTCTTCTGATGGCACTGAAGGAAGCAACTTCTGTCTCCCTGTGATCTCTCTCAGGTGGGCTTTGCTGCTGCTTTGCCCTTCCACCACTTCAACAGGTATTCCACACTGAATACAGCAGAAATTTTCTGCTGTCTGTGCTCTCACACCCCACACCTGTGCACTCCCACAGCATCCAGTAATTTGATCCCAAACTTCTGACAGTGCAGGTTTTAGTTTATGCAGCTGCTTCACGCACAGTGGGCTCTGCCCTTGTGGCTGCTCATCAGTTCCTCAGGTCCTGGCTATCCCTAGTTCCTTTATTCCCTGCTGGTGCCCACCAATGGATCTGACTCACCTAATGGATTTGTGATTTAATAGTTTTCTCTTCCAAATGCATTGCTGCTCAGAAGTACCCTGTGTACATCTATTTCACATTAAGATGGCCCCTCTGGGCCACTTCCCTGCCTGCCAGTGGCAGCAGTCACCTCCTCACTCTGCCATCAGCCGCATTTTTAGCTCCCCCCCTACATCTGACAGCTCTTTAGAGAGGAGCTTGCTAATCCTCGCATTCCAGGCACTCCTTCCAACAGCAATTGCTCTGACTTAAGTTTTGGAACGGAGACATTTTTGCTGCTGCTGCTGCTGCTGCAGCACAGGTTCTCCTCAGGCTCCAGGTCTCACAGGGTGGCTGCAGGGAGCCAGAGCAGCATTAGGATTTCAGGTCATGCATGAACAAATCCAGCTTTGTGTCCTGTCCAGAGCTCCATGGCACTGCTGGTGTCTCCCATTCATGGTCTCAGCATGCTCCCCAAGCAGGCACAGCTGCACTTCAGAAGTTTCTCACACCATACCATTTATGATTTTTATAAAGATAATGAATGCAAAGTACAGAAACAGATATAGAACTGCTGAATGGAGAGCACAAAAAACCATTGCTTTCCCCCATCTGCCTAAATTACACCATGCTTGAAGGTAGCAACACTGGCAGGGCTGATATTGCCCTATCAGTGTTCTGCAATCTCCTATCCAACATTCAAGTACCACTTCACACCTCAAAAATTAACTCTGTACTGACACAGACCATTAACAAATTAATAGGACTTCAAGCCATTCATCAACAGTCACACAATCTCTGCTTTAATTAATGAGCCATTCTTACCATTTATGTAATGTTCACTGTCCTTAATGTTTAAGCATCTCAATAGAAGCAGATTTCAGAAGTAATGAATATTCAAGTAGCTCAAAGCTTTAAATTTGCATATTAATATTTGCTTTCTAAGTCACATGGAAAAGTATTTGAAAGGCTGGGCTCTGATCCTGTTGAAAAATAAAAGTGTTAGAATTATTAGATTTTCAACACCTTTTGGCCAATGGTTCTAAGATCACAGATCCTCTTTCTTTTTCCCCCATGAAAACTCTAGATCCTTCAGTGAGAACTGGGACTTGAAACAGTTTGATTCTATTCCTGGTGCAGTCCTAGGAACTAGATTGATGGTGTACAGCCTAGAGTGCTACATAGCAAAGAAACAGTCTAAAATGATCGAGTTTTCAAAGCAAGACTTTAAATACACTCAGGGTTAAAGCATAACGTTGATTTTGCTGCTTGTGTGATTGTAGCAGAGACATTTCCTAGCAGAGTAGGGGTGTAAATGATGGGAGGGGACTACCTTGATCACCCTGGAGTGCTAAACTATGTAGTATTTGTTAAACTGGAGAACAACACCCATTCTATCCACACATACACACGCAGCAGCTGAAATACACTCATAGCCTGTAATGTATATCTTCAACACAAAAGATAAAAACGCCTTCAGACATCCCACAGAAATAAAGAACAAATACATTTAGCAGCACTGTAGGTCTCACACAGTCAGGCAGCCACAGGCAAGCAGTTGAACTAAGTCCAGGAACTGAACTTTACTCCATAAAACAGAAGAGCACGGAAAAATTAAGATCCCAACAGCCTCTGCCAGTGTAAACAAGGATGAGAGGGTGGGAGAGAGGAGACAATTCCTTACTCCCCCCAAATCTGCCAACTGCAGGTGGCATTGCCAAGCATGGGTGGAAAACATAAACAGGACCATTAAGATTTCCCATAGGAATAACAGTATGGCATGTTCAGACTCCCATCTTTAGTTCCTAGCAAAGAAACAAACAAACAAACCCAACAAATGTAATGATGAAAAAAACCAAAAAAGAATGTATAGTGGAAAGACAGGAAAAAAAATTATTATTCAATCCTTCAGGTAATTGGTGACAATCCTCAACTAAGATAATTGATTAAAACC